TTATGTTTTGGCTAGCGGGTAGTTGTACCGTTAAAATTTTAACATTGTAAGAAAAAAGGACTAGCTTTAATTGTTTTTACACAAATTGGGACCTTTGTAAACTTTTTTAAAAAGGTAGAACCACTTTGAATAAACGCCCTCATTCGAGGAACCAAAATAGGTATTAAGTACACACACATATATATATATATATATATATATATATATATATATATATATATATATATATATATATATATATATATATATTATATTTTCATAAATCATTACATTCTTAATATTGTATTTCAAAAATACATTCTAAAAAAACAAAAGTACTTTAAAAGATAAGAATTATGATTAATAAAGTTTAAAAAAATAATTAACTTCATTATTTAATTTACCACTACTCTAAACATTCATTGACTGGTCTCAACTCTTGTATTAATACCATCTTTCCTTTCCCGTATTAATATACGATCGAAATGATAAGCATTTAAAAGAAAAAACATAATATAAAAATAATAATAACATAATGAAAATTATCCAAACAAATCTTTAATATATCCTTAAAATAGTTTTCCTCCTTTTTTTCTCCTATTAGCATCACTTAATAACTAATTCAACAAATAGTTTCTATAAAAACCAACCTAAATACTCAAATGGTTCACATTTAATAAAATCAATTATCCAACATCAACCTATTACTCTATTATAAAACCTCAATCACATTTTAGCCTACATGGCTCAAATAAATGAATACATTTATATGTTACTTTCGAAAAACTAATGTATTGAATAAACTCGTGAGATTCTACATTTGTCATACTTACTATCCCTTTTCTTCTTTAGGACTTGTATCACATGTAACTCATATAATTCATCAAGTACATTCTCTAAGTATGATCATCTTTCATATCATATAGTCTACCAAGTGAAACCTTTTTCGACTGTTATCACTTAGTTATTTTTCTCTATGTAAGTTGGATATTAGTAGAGTTATAATAGTCTCAACAGCGATACCTCTCACACACAACCTCAACAGATACGAGAAAGCAAAATGCGACAAAACGTGAGTAATTTTTTTACCCTTTGCTGGTACATAATCGTCGTGTCGTGGTTGTCATGTCACTAGTCTCACTTCCCTTTTTCCATCTTCTTTACACGAGGAGATTCTTCTTCCTCCACTTCTTACAACTTGAAACGTTGTGAAATGGAGAGAAATTAGGAGTTAGAAGTGTTGAAAAAATCAAATGAATTAACTTGTTAACTCGTTAACATGTCAAAGGTAGAAGAAGGAATTGACCCATCCTAATCCATTTTAAATAGCAAATATGGATCAAACCAAAATGAACCAAATTTATCTATTTTCTCGTCCCTAATATTCACAATAAATATATATATATATATATATATATATATATATATATATATATAAAAGTTTAATTTGTCTGCTTTTACATTAAAATAATATAAATTTTTACATTCAGTGTTAAAAAAATTTGTGAATAATAAAAGTATGAGGACATCTAAAAAAGATGAATAACAAAAATACATTAGTAAAATTATGACCTTTTTAAAACATTAATGAAAAATAAATTGACACATCATTTGTGTTAAATGACCATTAACCCAACGCTAGATTTTTTTTCTTTTATAACATATTTTTAGTTTTAATTTATACTCTAGCTTATGTTTACATAGATAGCACTATTTTGTAAAAGTTCAGAATTCGGTTTCTAGGAAGCTGAATTCTGACTTCTTATTTCAAAAAAATTTACTAAAAAATATGTTAGAATTCGGTTTCTTCGAGAATTCGGTTTCTTGGAAACCAAATTCTGATTTTTACGTTGGAAACCGAATTCTGATTTTTGTGAAAATATATTCAACGGTTTTCGAAAACCGTTTAAGACTCGATTTTCAAAAATTAGTGAGAGGTTAAAAGGTTTTCGAAATCTACTTAAATCACTAGTGCATAATTGGCCTTTAACGTCACCCCGTAGACGTCGGTTCACCAAATAGTCAACGTAAATTATTGACCAGTGGCATTTTCGTAAATAAGTGGGCATCTAGACGTCTTTTACAAACAGACGTCTACATGCGTGACAGATAGGCGAGAAGTTAATTTTTTTTGCCATTTAGACGTCTGATCCCGCCACCACCGACGTTTATACTATTATAGACGTCGGCCCCCTGTAACGAACGTCTATATGACTGACAAGATAGGTGAAAAGTTAACCAAGACGTCAGACACCTTCCTAATCGACGTCTAGATTCCCCGCGAATATTAATTTTCAAATCAGAAAGATGTCATATTAGTGAGGGCCCCGACGTCTATACTATTCGAGACGTCGGACCCCCTTGCACCCGACGTCTACAGGAACCCGCGAAGAGTAACTCTCACTGTTCATCGTCTTCCTCGCGTTTTCTCTCTGAGGCAAGAGTGGACAACTTATCTTCTGCAAAGATGGAGTTCGGAACACTTATATTTGTTGTTGAACATTATTAGGTTTAGTTTAAGTTTATATTTTGATAATTTTGGTATTGGATTGTTTTTTAGATTAAGTAGAACTTTCTTTAGTTGAAACACATATAATATATATTATAATATACTGTTCTGGGACAATTTTCTCTTTTTTAGGTGTGGTTTTATTGTAAAAATAAATTAATTTTAAAAAAAAAAACACCAGTAGACGTCTATTAATGCCATGTCTGACGTCTATAGACGTCTATCAGTGCACAAACAGACGTCCAATGAATTATAGTGGACAAAACGTTCCAGTGATATAGACGTCATATATCTATACATCCGACGTCTATGTAGACGTTTTGGATATCTATACATCTGACGTCTATATAGACGTCTGGTATACCCACATCCGACGTCTATATAGATCAGACGTCTATATAGACGTCTGATATATCCCGTTCGACGTCTGATTAACATCACCCACAAACACGTCGGATCTGGATCTAATGTTAAAATGCCAAAATAACATACGTCTAAAGCCCTTTCTGCACTAGTGAATGGTTTTCAAAAACCATTGAAGGATATATTCACTTTTAATATATTTTTAAAATTTTGCTTTTAATTAATAAATAATTAATTTATTTTAATATTATTTAATATGTTATACTATATTAAATCAAATTTTACATTATTATTATTATATTTATATTTAGTTTTATTATTACTATTATAATTTTCAAAATAATTATTAAAATAGTAACATATATTAAATTATATTCAAATAAATTAAATATTTTCTAAATTTTATAATAAAATTAATTTAAGAAATTTGTTAAATTGAAAATTTTTTATTTTAATATATTAAAATAAGTTAATTATTAATTAAAATTTAAATAAAAAATTAAAAATATGTTAAACTTAAAAAACCGTCTAACATTTTTTTAATTTTTTTTAAGTTAAAATTAATAAATAACTAATTTATTTTATTATTTTATTATGATTTAATATTTTATAATAGATTAAATAACATTTCATATTGTTATTATTAATTTACTATTATTACTTTTAGTTTTATTATTTTTATTATTAATTTAATAATAATTATAAAAATTATAAAATATATTAAATTTTATCAAAATAAACTAAAAATTTTTTAAATTTTATAATAAAACTAATTTCAAAAGTTTGTTAAACTAAAAAATTATATTAAAATATTATAATAAATTAATTATTTATTACATTTTAAGATAAAAAAACAGAACTTAAAAAAATATGTTGAACAGTTAATTTTTTTAAAAAATAGACTACAATATCAAAATAAATTAATTAATTATTTTAACATAATAAAATAATATATTAATAACAAAATAATGTATATTAAAATAATAATAAAATATAAACTTTGTTTTAATATATTTTATTATATTAAACTTTATTAAATGATAAGATAAATTGATGATTTATTTATTTTAAATTTAAAAAGATTTATTTAATATACTTTTCAAATTTTATTTATTAATTTTTAAAATTTTATTATATTATTATTTTTATAATTATTATTAAATTAATAATAAAAATAATAAAACTAAAAGTAATAATAATATATGAATATTAATAATATGAAATGTTATTTAATATATTATAAAATATTAAATCATATTAAAATAATAAAATAAATTAGTTATTTATCAATTTTAATTTAAAAAAAATTAAAAAAATGTTAGACGGTTTTTGAATTTTAACATATTTTAAATTTTTTATTTAAATTTTAATAATAATTAACTTATTTTAATATATTAATATAACATCTTTCAATTTAACAAATTTCTTAAATTAATTTTATTATAAAATATAGAAAATATTTAATTTATTTGAATATAATTTAATATATGTTACTATTTTAATAATTATTTTGAAAATTATAATAGTAATAATAAAACTAAAAATAAATATAAATATAATAATAATAATAATGTAAAATTTGAGTTGATATAGTATAATATATGAAATAATATTAAAATAAATTAATTATTTATTAATTTTAAATTAAAAGCAAAATTTTAAAAATATGTTAAAGGTGAATATATCTTGATTTTTGAAAATCATTTAAGTAGATTTCAAAAGTCTATTAACCTCTCATCAATTTTTTAAAATCGAGTATTAAAGGGTTTTCGAAAATTATTAAATATACTTTTGCAAAAATTATTAAAGAAGAAAATTAAAATTCAGTTTTCGAGAAACTGAATTCTAACTTATATTTTAATAAAAAAGATGAAATAAGAAATCGGTTTCCTAAAAACTGAATTCTGAATTTTTACAAAGTCGTACTATCTATGTGAATATACAGCTACAGGCTATCTAAGTAAATTAAAAATAAAACTACAAATAAAACTACGTTATAAAAGAAAAAAAAATCCCCAACCCTAACGCAATTGAAATTAAGGATAGATTCCCTGTCTCCTCCAGCGACGACTTTTCTGCTGGGTTCATCCCAATTCGAATTCCACCTTGTAAGCATCGAATCACTTCTTCTCTTCCCAGATCTCACAATCTTTTCCTTTTTTCTTTTTTATCTTATTCTATAAAACTTTTTTCTTTTATTTTTCAATTGTATTTTCATCCCAATTCCAATTACCCTTTGGTCTGGGTATTTACTCTCTAAGTAATAATAATGGGTGATTCTCGCCGAAAGTTCAATAAAGTCGATATTTTAGCCTGACTTCTATATGTAGTTCATAGTCATACGATGGATCTGAATTTTCTGTTGCATATTTGAGTTTATGTTAGCTTACCCTGCAAAAGTAGTTGGTCCTTTTCTCAATTCAATCATCAAAATAGATTCTTTGACCATCCTATTAAATTTATTACCTGTGTGTTTTTATTCTATTGAATATTATAATGTTTTAGATTGTAGTTTGAAATCTGGGTTTGTGACCTTTGCAGAATATCTAGACCCTTGTGAAAGCTGTTTGTCTGTTTGATTTGGAAGTTTGTATAGAGAATTTGCTCTAATGGGTGGCCAAAGGAGTGGTTATGGTAAGCGTCCCCACTCTCAATCTGACTATGATAATGGACCAAATAAAAGGAGGAATCACGGTGAGGATAGAGAGCAGTTTGTGATTGATTCGGAAGATACAGTTTTTCGATATGTATGCCCGGGTCGAAAGATTGGCAGTGTTATTGGTAGAGGAGGTGAGATTGTTAAGCAACTGAGGGTGGAGACCAAGGCCAAGATTAGGATTGGTGAGACTGTGCCGGGTTGTGAAGAGCGAGTTGTTACTATTTATAGCCCCAGTGATGAGACTAATTCTGTTGAGGGTGGTGGGAATTACGTGTCTCCGGCTCAGGATGCTCTGTTTAAGGTGCATGACAGAATAGTTGCTGAGGACTTGCATGGTGATCAGGATGATGATGGAGGTCACCAAGTGACTGCTAAGCTGCTGGTGCCATCTGATCAGATTGGTTGTGTCATTGGGAAAGGCGGGCAGATAGTTCAGAACATTCGTAGTGAGACTGGGGCCCAGATTCGGATACTCAAGGATGACCATTTACCTTTGTGCGCCTTGAGCTCTGATGAGCTTGTTCAGGTGAACTGGATGAGATTTTTTTAGCATTAAATTCAATGTTATTTTTTCAGTTTATTTATTTATTAATGCAATTGATGATTATGGTATTAAAAAAATTGCTATTTGGCTGACTTGTTTTTGTTTATATTGTTTAGATTACTGTTGGATTCTGGTTGAAAACTAATATTTGTTTATAATTTGCTTTCTATTGGCTTTTTGAAACTCAAGATTACTGGGGATGCCGCTGTTGTGAAAAGGGCTCTGCATCAAATAGCATCTCGACTTCATGATAACCCTTCACGATCTCAGCATCTTCTTACTTCTGCTGTTCCTGGTGTATATCCTGCTGGTAGTTCCCTCATTGGTCCAACTCCAGGAGCTCCAATTGTGGGGATAGCTCCCCTTGTTGGAGCTTATGGGGGATATAAAGGTGACACTAGTGACTGGCCACCGCGGTCCATGTACTCAGCTCCGAGGGATGAGGGGTCTTCAAAGGAGTTTTCAGTTCGATTGGTTTGCCCAACCGGAAACATTGGAGGTGTTATAGGAAAAGGTGGTATGATAATAAATCAAATTAGGCAGGATTCTGGTGCAACAATCAAAGTTGATAGTTCACCAACAGAAGGAGAGGAATGCTTGATCACCATTTCGACAAAAGAGGTAAAATTATGATCACCTAATGGGCCTTTATCACCATCTCTCAGTTAAGATCCGAGTTTACAAAGCTCTCTTGATTTGTATTTTGTGCTATATGGTGATATTTTCTAAATTGTGCTACTATGAATGGCATGTATGAAAAAAATGTTGTGTTAAATCATACAAAACGTTTTTTCCAATATCAACAAACTTGTTGCTTTTACTTTAATGCATTGAAAAGCCCAATTTTCCCATTACAACTGAAATCCAAATATGGTTAGTAACCATTTCAATTATTGAGGAGACATGTTGATCTCCCACTGGCCTACATTTTCCACTTCCGCTATAGATGTACTTTTTGTGGTATGATTTTTGCTGCTGTGTATTTTGTGATGTTTATAACTTGTGCTAATGCAGTTCTTTGAAGAGACTTTCTCCCCAACAATAGAAGCAGCTGTGCGATTGCAACCTCGATGCAGTGAGAAGGTTGAAAGAGATTCAGGAATCATCTCTTTCACAACCCGCCTTCTGGTATCAACCTCACGAATTGGTTGCCTTATTGGTAAAGGGGGATCTATCATAACTGAGATGAGGAGGCTTACAAAAGCTAATATTCGCATTATCTCAAAGGATAATCTTCCTAAGATTGCATCTGAAGATGATGAAATGGTGCAGGTAAGGGTACTTTCATTCTTTGGTCTAGTAATGTTGTTTCTGATAGAGTCCTAACATTCTGTCCTACTACATTGGCTCCCCAAACACGTTCTGATTAGATTTCAGGAGATCTTGACGTTGCCAAGGAGGCTCTGGTGCATGTACTTACACGGTTGAGAGCGAATATTTTTGATAGGGAGGGTGCTCTCTCTGCATTCCTTCCAGTTATGCCATATCTGCCTGTTTCAGCAGATGGATCAGATGGCCTAAGCTTTGATGGTAGAGATGGTAAAAGACATGGACGTGGACATTCTTATTCAAGTGGGTATGGTGGCTCAAGTGATGTAACAGGTGGTGACATTTATGGAAGCTATGGTGGTTCACAGGTACTTCTCTTCAGTTGGACTTGAGTTTAGGATCATATTTAAATGGGCCCGAGTTCTTCAGGTTTAAGCTGTGTTTTCTTGTTCCATGTTTGTAATATTGTTCCATGCATCTGTAGCTTGGAAGTAGCAGTGCTTATGGGGCTTATGGAAGTTATTCTTTGGGACGGTCTAGTACTGCTGGGTAATAAATCTTCCTGATGTCTAATTTCCTGCTTAAGTTTTTTTATCTCTTACTTTTCCCTGTAATTATCAGCTTAGAAGAATATATAGGTTATCAGTTTTGAAAATGAACCTAACATAAGGTAACTGCACAGTTGAATATTTGATTTCAGCTCTAATCGATTTTAAGGACTGAAAGGTTGGATTTGGATTATACAACACTTTTTGAAACTTGTGCCATGGAAGCTTCTACTAGCATTTCACTTATGTAAATTTGATTTATGGATGTTTATTGGCACATTTATTTTAATAGGAAATTACATATTAAATTTTCTCCCCTTTTGTTTTCTGGTGTTTGCTTCCACAATTGTACTTTATTGTTTGATACTTTGGATTTTGTTTCCACAAAATTCCCAGTGTTCTACATACACTAATGTTACCTTTATCAGTGAGCGTTATAAAATGACCGTTATGGTAGTGCCATAATGGTATTGGCGTGTCAATTTCCGGTGTTTGCCATCCACCATCCGCCGTTTTGAAGGATATGGTGTCTTGTGCCATGGCACCCTGCCATGGATGGATGTGGTTCATGGTGCCTATGGTGAAATATCGGTTGTTTCCTTTGTTTTTTGTTTTTCAAAAGCATCGTTTTGGGTTTGACCCATTTTTAAATAACCCTAATCCTGGACATGGGAAAGAATGAGCCCTCTTTTATGAATGAGAACCTTCTTCACAGAGTGAGAACAGAGCTGTGAAAGAAATAGAGAATGACCCTTCTTTGTCATCAAGTCTCTTTTGAGTCATCTATGGCAGTGGCTTCAGCAGCTTGAATTACAGTGGCGACATAAGCTCTAAGGACCTAAACCTTGAAACCTAGTTTTGTTTTCTGTTTTTTCTTGTTCCTTCTTGACATTGTTTGTTTGTTGTTCTTATGTTTGCTCATAGAACATTGTTACCAATTATTTTCCACTTACAGGATAATGTCAAGCACTGAAAACTAAAGCAATGCATCCTCAAATTGTTTAATAAAATAGTAGTATTATTATGAGTTGTCTTCAACAATCATAAGAATTTTATAAATCTTGTGAAATTAGTTTGTCATTATATAAAATAAAATTTGTCCACTATGACTTTCCGTAGTAGGCTGCCATGCCATATGCGATATTTATGACAGATATTTAGCTGACTGCGATAGGTTGTTATCTTCTATTGATAATTGATTGTTATCCATCCCTTCAAGGGTTAATATTAGTGGATTTGTAGTCTTCTAAAATAATAGTTTTAACTTGAATATTCTCTTGGAAAACATTCTTTGAAATATTTTCTAAATGCCCCTTACTAGAATCAAGTTACCTTACATTCACAGTTTCTTTATTCTTTCTTGTCCATGTTGTGAAAAGGTCACTCTTACTGATAATTTGTTATGACTGTTCCTGAATTCATCAATTCTAATATTTAGTACCTGTTTCCAGGTTGTCAACTCAGAGTGGTGTTTCTCGGAGGAGAAATCATGCTTACTGAACTTAATGAGTCTTTGCAGGTAGAATGCAATTTTCATTAATGGTCTACTTTTATCTGGAAACTTCCTCTAATTTAGAACTGTCAACTTCCTATAATATAGTAAATAAGAGATTGATATCTTAACCTGACCAGTCCCATTTAGAATTCTGATGATATTGTTTTCCCTTTGTTCCCTTTCCTTTACCACCCAAACAGCTGAGTTCTGTGAAGCCCGCAGCCTGCCTACTGCCTAAACCAGAAGACCTGATGAACCAGGGTTTGACAAACTTATGGCCCACCTTGACGCTACTACTTAGAGGACCAAACTTATGTGGAGACTATTGAAATTGGCCATGTTCATTTTACCTTAATTCCCAAGCTTCATAACTTGTTCTCCCAAGAACCTATAAAGCTTGCTTGCCTTTCTGTTATTATTGTGGTTTATTTTTAACTTTAAAACTGAGACACCATGTACCTTTCATCATCCAACAGTTGTATACTATTTACTGTTTTTGGGTTTTATTTTCTCATATTTTCACTATCACATCAAATTTGGTGGAGTTTTGGCGTCATGTATTGCAGGTGCCTCTATTTGCCTATATCAGCATGAACAGGTAAAGGCATGTTGTCTTCTATGATTCTGAAAGTTCACACAAATGGGTGTTGTGAGTACCTTACGTGATTGCACTTTTCAGTTTAATGGTATGAAAGCTGTACTTACATCTTAATATGTTGTTAACTCAACGACTGAAGCTCATAGTCGACAACAAGTTGTTTGTGGTAAGATCAGTAGAAGACATTGTATGGTATAAGGTGATTCAGAAATATAGAGGATCTGTTTGATGAATTCTGTTTTGAGGATAAATTGTGAAAGCATGAAGGCACACTTCAACAGCATTGATAGTGATGGTGACTGGCTGTAGTAGTTCGAAGTGAAAATAGAAAATTGATTAGAACGAGTTAAAGGAAACAAACGACTAGTGTTTTCATTTTTCTGCACTAAGACAGATTGAGAAAAAAAATTCTTAAATGATTTGTTTTTAGTTTTTTCAAATATAAAAACTCTTTCAAAAGCAGTATTCGAACATGCCATCACTTTTGGCAGTTTTTTTTTTATGATTTTCCAATATCACACATGCTTGGATATTTATCAGTGCTGTACATTTTTTTAGCTTAATTAGCATTCAATTGCACTGAACTACATTTTTATTTATTTATTTCACTTTTAAATTGTATTGGACTACCACTACTCACAAAAGTTGGCATAAGAAAAGAAGATATTTTCTGTCAGGCCATTAGGTGACCTGGCACAGTGAGAGTCTTCTGAAATCTTGGTGATCCAATGGCCAGTGCAAAGGTGTGACTAGGGTTACTCATAGAATTCTGTTCTTGAGTACTTGTTTAAATTCTGTGAACAATGGCCTAGAGAGAGATGCAGTGATCTGAATTTCTTTTGGAGCTTTGGTGTATTTCACTTTTCCAGGTATTTGGATTAGATAATACTTTGATGATACCTGGGGAGTGGATGAATTGGATTTCGGTTGCTAAGTGGTAGTTTGTATTTAACTACTTGTATTGTTCACTGGTTTGTAATTTTATGTGAAATGCACTTTGATTTGTTCTATGCAACTGATTTCGTAGGCAATAGTTTTTTGTTGGCTCTCATTTGATTGATGCAAAAGCATCATGGCCATTTTTGCATTTACGATTTGTTCTTATTATTGTCTTATTTCATTGACTTTGAACATGCCACGAAAGTTGTGACTGTTCATGTAAATAAATGGCTTGTGAGGCCCCATTTGGAATTAACCTGGTTTTATTCGGTGCATTGTTGGCCTAGTATATACTTGCTTCATTATGCATGGTGAATCAAGAACAAATGTATTCCATCCTTTTGTTCCACACTTTTCGGTGGCATTAAAGTATAGTATTTATTCAATTTATCTTCTAATTTATTTTTAGAATTATCTTCACGTAAAATAGAACTCATTCCGATGTGATATAAATCCAAATACCATGTACCCATTCAACGTTTTGGATAATCGTGTTATTGGTGTGCTTCTCTTGAAACAAATTACTGGCTTTATTGAGGATTTATTTTGGTTGGAGAATTCGGTTGATCAATTTTAGTGAATATTTTTCAACAATTTTTGATAATTTTCTATCTGATTTTTCTATTCATGAGGTTTGACAAGGATATCGATTTCACATTGTGGGTGTAGATTGCGGATTTTGATTATTTGCATTGATAAACTAGTGTTGATTTATTCTTAGTTTGAGGCATTTAATTTCAGTTAACTCATGATAACCAGTACAAAAACCCAACATTGAATTTTGGAATGGTCCTTCCAAAAATAATAAAGAATGAATGGTACGATTAATATTGAGGTGGTTTTAGTCATTTGTGTTGTTTGTCTTAAACCATGTGCACCCAAGTTTTCTGAGGAGAAATGATTTAAGATTTTTGCAGTGTAAATTGAATATGTAAATATTGGATGGTCCTTGTTAGCTTAGAGAGGCAACTATGCTATTTAGATTATGTCATTACTCTGTAAAACTTGTATTGAAAGTCAACACTTTCTTCAGCTTCTATCAAATAGAAAGACAATCAAATAACATGGTTGAGGTGAACAAATTTTCACCTACTTTGTTATTTAGAAATTGAAAACTCAAATGAAGCTATTATTAACAAATCTGATATATGATCAATGAATTGTTGAACGCTGGATCAATTTCGATTGTATATAGAGTTTAATTTAGTTTAGGCCTAAGAGTACCAGTGAAAGAGAACTTCATAATTAGTTGGATTAAAATTGGAAAACTTCTACTGTTCAACTATTATAAAACATGTCATTCTTCAGTACTTGTAAGAGTTGTTGTTTCTTACTGGATATCTAGCTAGCAGCATTCCCAGGACAACTTGGATTCCATTCATATACGAATACATAACCTGAGTTTTGAAAATTGAGGTTAGAGATTCTGTTTTTGTGAAGCTAAAGTCTATACATTTCTTAGAACACTAAATCCGTGCATAGTTGTGGTCAAATGTAATAAATAGATCCACCTAACACAATGTACATAGATCAGTTTTCAACTCAGTGAATAGTATTTATTTATGTAGATACTGTTCATTGAACATAATCTGTTTCATCTTTATCAATATCTTGTCATATAGCTGATAGATAATGATCTGATAAATATACGAGTAGATGTTACATCTTTATGTCTGGTATTATATAATTAACGGATAACTATCTTTTAAATATATGATTAGAAGTTGGATCAACATATATGTTTGAAAGAATATCTATTCAAGAAGATGATCTTGGACTAACTTTTGTATTTGAAGAAATGAAAGTTTACTTCCAATCAAAAGATACTCCAAGTTAAAGAAAAAGGGTCTTTTGTTGTTCTCTTAAATGATCACAGGGATGACATGAGAAGCTACACAAAACTAGGGTGGTGGGGGTGGGCATGCATCTAATAAAGTTCTCATATTCCTTGGTTTCTTCACCATGCAAAGTCACATCCAACAATAAGAATCCTCCAGAATATATATATTTTTTCTTCTGATTTCCCTTAAGTAAAGGACAACAGTGGAACAGTTATAGAGCTTCCCCTTCTGCACAGATGCTAGCATCATTAATGCCTAGAGCTGGCATGCCATGTCATGTAGCATGAACATTTTCTTTATATTCTCATCAGATCCTTTTTCTGCATAAAAACCCCATTCGTTTGTTTCATGTCAAGAAAGCCATTTTTTTGGCTTCTTCACCTCTACCAGTTAGTTACTCACTAAACCCTTATAAGAGTCCATGCTTGTTTGTTTCTTTTGTCAATGTAAAAGCTCTTTCTTCCTCATTCTAGGAGGGAATGTTGTCTTCTTCATTTGGGAAAAAACTGTTCTTGCAGTTATGGCAGTGATGGGCTGCATTTGATTGGTTATACTGAATAACTTGATTTTCTACCTTGTTTTATGTGGGAATCATAGATTTCTTTTTCTTAGCCTATTTGAATGATCACTAGCTTCAAATAATTCATCTGATGTCTTGCATGTGGGAATGAGGTCATGTAATGCAGCCAAGGATGACTTGCCGGCAAACTTCTTTTGGCATTCTTAGTTAAGGTTCTAAAATTTGGTTGCAGTCACAGTTTTCTTTCAATCTTTTGATATTCTGATAAATTATAGGAAAATACCACTGATATGCATGATTTTGATCACAATAAGTCTAAACATTTTGATGTTTTGGCTGTACTCACAATTTTATTTTGATCTTTGATATGGTAGTAAACCACAAGAAGTCCAAAATTCTTTGATGTCGTGATTCAAATCATGGTCAAGTTTCACAATCCTTGACAAACTAGTTGTATTGGATAAATTTCTAAGTAAAAAAATATGTTTTTTTTAAATCATTGAAATTAGTTTATATACAAGCAATTTTATACCATTTTTTAATTCTTTATTTTTTTTCTTAATTTATCTTTATTCAAATATTCATTTTGCTTTCTTGGAAATTCGGCAAGTCTTCTTTGGCTACATCAAGGTCTTCTTCTCTCATGCTAGATTCTTTTGATGATTCATGAAATCATGATTGGACATAATCAATGATGGTGAGATGCACAAATGCTAAGTTAAAACATTATATAT